TCTCAGAGTGAGAATTCTCATCCCTTATCTCAGTCAGCAAAAAGTGAAGAACATGGCTCTTTAGGATGATCTCCTCTTGGCTTCTTCCCTCTTGATTCCTCTCTTCTTAGTTCTTCAAAGCTTAAAAAGAAATCAAGAGCATGAGTGGAGAAGAATAATGCGTCTCTCCTTTTAATATTAAACATAATTCAACCTCCTCTTAATTTATCCATGGTTACTCAACCTTAAAATTGGTTACATATCTCTTCTCCTTACTTGACGATGATGATTATGATAATAATAATAATAATATAAAATAATATATTATATCATAATTTTCAAATAATTTAATCAAAACAAATATATAAAAATATGATTCCAGTATCAAAATACTCTATAAAATCAATCTTTTAAATTTTATAATAAAATTTAATTGCAAAAATATAGATTTGTAAATCAATAAATGAAAGTAATTTAATATAAATCTATACGTATTATAAAAGAGAATAGATTTTGGTAATCAATTTTTATTTTTATTTTTATGTTGAATATTATTATCTTTAAATTTAAAAATCATCTTTTTAAAAAATTTCCTTTAAAAAAATATAAAAATACAAAATGTCTCTTTCTTTATTAGTTTATATAAATTAAATGTTTCTTAATATATGTATAAAAGACTAAAAGAATCAAAAGTTTCATAATAGAGGGAGTCCTCATTAACAAGATATTAAATTTAATAATTTTAAACTATTGAAAATATGTTAACAACGAGAAATAAATCGTAACAAATGGATTTTTTTTAGAAGTTATAACTAATAACATTAATTTAAACATGATATATTTTTTTTTATCAATAAAGTTGTCTTCCATCTTGGATACTTCTTTTAGTAAAAATTTAAACATTGACTCGTTACATTATTTTCAAGTGTTGATTGGTGTACCTATTTTCGCACAGGACTAACAATCGGAAAGATTGTCAGGAACATTGTTAAAAACTCAGGTAGCTGTTAGTTTCCTTAGGATCTGGCTAATGTGACTTTGATAGATGCTGATGTGTGTAGTTTGAAGTTCGATTTATCTGATAACTATTGATGACATTGTGTAGGATTTAGAATTTAGTTGTAAGGCTTGGCATTGGGTTATGTGGTGCGTGATATAACTCTAGGCAAGAGTCGACAAGGCATGCATGCCACATATCTTACCATGAACAGAAGACACAGCAAAAATATAGAAATTATCTTCAACGGGGAAAAGAAATTTCTGGTGGTTTAATAACTTTCAGAAAATTTTGATCGGTTTAATAATCGTCAATTTTTATTTTTATTTTTTTATGGTTTTATGCCTCGAAATCCCATTTTGTTTCATTGTTAGAGTACCTTAAAGTTAAAAAGTGACTTGGCAACTAACAATGGAGAATAAAACATAAACAATGTTGATACAAAATCTAAAACATAGTGTGACACCCTTCTACCCCAACATTAATATACAACAAATGTAATAATAAAAAAAATTTCTTTCTTTTTGAGTAAATAAAATCTTTCATAGTTGACAAATGTCTCAAATATCACAAGGTAGAAGATTCACATTCATAACTCATAAAACATAACTCCAATATAAAAATTACAAAAGAAAAAAAGTTAAGATTTTTAATACAATTTAGTGACAACAAGAAATCATATATATATATATATATAATAATAATACAGGAAATATAAATTAACTCCAGTAAAGGTGGCAGTGCCTCCTGGTTAGGAATTAATTATATTTTTCAAATCATGTAATAAAAATATAACAAAGATATTCATTCTGGTATTTTATGAAGAACGTTCGAATTACAATTCTTAACATACATTTTCCTTGGATTATAAACTTTTGTCAACCATCGGGAAGGTGCAGAACAAATGATAATCAGTTTCAATATCCTGTTTACAAAAAAAACACAGTGCATCATTATTTGATAGGGCAATGATCCTACTTGCCAGATTATCCATCGTCGAGAAGCCCCTACTCATCATTCTCCAAGAAAAAATTTTAGCTTTCGGTGGTGCCAGGATGGACCAGATAATGCTAGGTGCATCATTATTGGATCCTACAACAGCTTTAGAGGTGATGGCACTATATGCAGACCTGACTGTATAAGTTCCAGACGGTTCACATAACCACCACCGTGAGTCACCTGCTCCGCCCTAGGACTACACTCCGCAAGTTGTTGCATTAATTCCTACTCCAACGGTATCTCCCATTCGAACCTTTCCCGTCCAAGAGCCCATATCTTGAATAAAATGATTTTTGTAACACCCCAATTTTTTTAAAAAGGTACTTTTGTAATTAATGGCATTTTGTAATTTTAATAAAGGAATAAGGGTATTTTTGTAATTTTATTATTAATGGCATTTTTGCAATTTTATTAAAGTTTGAGGGGTAAAAGGGTAACTTGGAACGGGCTGTTCCAAAATTGGAACGGGCCGTTCCAAGCAATAAAAATATACTGAAATTTCAAGTTGAGAACGGGCCCAGAACGGGTCGTTCCAACAAGGAGAACGGGCCGTTC